AGCTGGTGGCACTGCAGCTGGAGCTGGTGGCACTGCAGCTGGAGCTGCCCCCCCGAGCCCTGGCACCACGTGCTGCTCCTCCGGGCCGGTCCCTGCTGGGCCCAGCCTGTCCTGGGGAACTGCTCCAGGGTGCTCAGTCAGTGTTCACATCAGCTCTGCTGGAGTGTCTGAACAGGAACTGAACTGTGATTTTATTGCAGATGATGAGGAGCGAGACCTGCAGAACGACCTGGGGGACTACAAGTCCCGCTTCAGCGACGGGGTCCTGTAGGCCCGGGGCACAGAGAGCCCAACCCAAGGACTTGAGGTGCTGCAAAACTGAACCAGTTCTACTCCAGTGTTTCCTACTTCCAAGGAAGCTGAGAATAAAGTGCCGAGTGTGCTCAGCCAGCAGGTGAAGAGGAGCCACTGTACATATGTACATACTTGTACTGCTGCAGGTTGCATTAAACCAGCACTGTCACATGGAGCCGGTTACTCAGCCTGGTCCTTATCTGAAATAATCTTTACACTTAAGCCCAGTCTATAAACACAGGCTGAACTGTTTCTGCCGTTTACAACACTTTGGAACCTGGAGGACTTGTACAGTTTGTACCTGATGTAACAAAGCCCCTGTGGAAGCCATGTACAGCCAAGGACTCCTTTTCTACAGTCCCACCTGTGTGGGCAGAGCTGCTTCTCTCGAGTGCTGGGTTTGTCCAGCAGGTGAGCCACGAGCTGGGAATGAGAACTGAACGGTTCAATAGCTGCTCCCTCCTCACTGTGACCCAGGCTGGGGCAGCCCTCAGCACCACTGAGCTCCTGTACAGTGACCACATCTCATAGCTAGAGCTGCAAATAAATCTATAGTAGGACTTCAGTAATTTGGTTCATCCCCAAAAAGTTGTGCAACTAATAGCTTGATTTAAAAGATGTAAATTGATATAAATTGGTATAAATAATTATAAATAATTCACAGCTTGTAGGAAATCTTTATGTTAAAGACAGCAAGGGTGTGAGTGAGACAGGTCTGTCTGCCCTCGACAAAGGACCAACCCTTCCTGGGTTTGCTGCTGGTGTGCTGTCCCAGGTTGTCCAGCCCAGGTCCAGCCACTGCAGCCCATTTCCAAGTTTGATCCCTTGCTACAGCTCTGAACACCTCCCATGGTCTGGTTTCTCCATCAGATCTGTAAGTCAGACCCTTCTCTGGGTTCTGTGTTTAAGTACCATCAGAATTTACGGAGATGATTCCATGGCTCTGCAGTGTGGGAATGAAGGGGATTGTCCCACCTGCTCCTCCAAGGGCTCCTGGGGACACAGGCTGTGGGCCCTGACGAGGGTGACTGAACTCATCCCTGTGCTCAGGTGCTGGGCTGAAGTAACGGGTCAGGTTTGCTCATTGCCAGCTCAGTGAACCTCTTGAATAAAGTTCAATGCTCGTACAATTATTGGTGGGGTTTTAAGACAATTTATTACTGCTTCGAGTGTCAATGGCAAAAAAAGCTGCTGCATTCAAAAAGTGAAGGTCCAGCTCAGTGCTATGTTCTGGTTCAGTACCAGCCCAACCCAGTGTTCTCTGTAGTGCAGCATCACGTGGCACAGCTTGGGAAGACCAATAAATTAAAGAGATACTTCTTAAAGGTAGAGATTAAACCATTCTGCACTCACAGCTTTAGCTGCTTTTCCCTGCCCTGCTGTCCTCGCTCAGTACCACGGCTGAGGCACATCCCAAGTGGGTGTGACACTGCCCAGCTGCTCTGACAGATCCATGAAAACAGCTCAGAATCCTTCCCTGGGAGGGTGGGGAGGCCCTGGCACAGGTTGCCCAGAGAAGTTGTGGCTGCCCCTGGATCCCTGGAAGTGTCCAAGGCCAGGTTGGATGGGGCTTGGAGCCACCTGGGCTGGTGGAAGGTGTCCCTGCCCATGGCAGGGGTTGGGACTGGATGAGCTTTAAAGTCCCTTCCAACCCAAGTCATTCCAGGATTCTCTGAACTTCATGTGTGATTTGTTCTTTGTGCAATACCCTGGGGAGCTGCTCTGGCTCTCAGGCACTGTTCCCAAAGCCAGTGTCCCCCAGGGCAAACAAAGGAGCCCCAAAATGGATCTCCCTTCGTTTTCATGAGTAAAAAATATAAAGTGGCTCATGATACAAACTCACAAATTTTCAGTTGTGTGTTTCATGAGCCACTCTCTTTTTAAGAACAGGAGACTTTGCCAACTGGCCGACACCTGGAGTTCTCATCCAGGATCCCTTCCCCTTCTTTGGAGGAAGGTGGGCAAAGGGAGGAGAACTCTGGGATGGCCTCAGGTGTCTGGAAGAGCATGTGATGCACTGAATACAATAAATGCCCTTTGCTAATCAAACACCAGCTCACTTTTCCAAACATGAATTGAAAACGTGAGTCCCTGTGGATTCGCAGGCCCACCCTGCCCCGGGCTGTGCGGCACCACTCGGGCTCTGAGGACCAGAACTGACAAACCAGCTCGGGTTTGTTTTGAAAATGCAATTCCGACATCCCTGTGTGGTTTGTGCCGAGCCAGTCCCTGTTTCCATGGCAATGGCAGCACACACAACGCTGACAGATCTCGAGCAGCTGCTTCCCTCAGCCCCAGCCAGCCTGGAATCAGCCCCGCTCCCACATTCCGGGCTCACAGGAGGATCCAACACAGCCCTTCCCACCTCAGCCCAGCCCTTCACCCAGCACCCCCAGGTAGCTCCGCAGTGCATCCAGTCCCGGGGCTGAGGCTCCACTGAGGAAGCCCTTTGGATCCACGTGGATTTCAAACAATGAGCAGAGAGCTGAGATCCGGCTGCCAAGGCTGAGGGGCGAGTTCAGCCACTGTGAGAAACACAGGCACCTGCACCCAACAGCCAGAGAAACAACTCCAGTTATTCCAGCCAGTCCCAGCTGCCCAGTTTTGGAGGTTTTTGGCAAACAGACTCTGCTGAAGCTTTCCCACAAAAGCCAAGACTCATCAATGAACCCATTTTAGATTAAACATGAGGAAAACCAAACTGATGGGCAGGATGTCACCAAAGGGGAAACCCCAGTTCTGGATGAAACAAACTCCACGTTTTTCAGCATTTCAATGGCTGCAAAAAGCCAGTTCAAAGTGACAAGATGCAAACAGACATGAGATAAATGGTTTGTGGATTTTATTAAATGTTCTTCTACATTTTCATGTAGGCAAACCCAGCAACAGTGGGAAACCCAGAGCCTGCAGGACAGAAGAGCTTGAGAGTGAGTGTTTTGCAAAAGAACCTACAGGAAGGAGAAAAGGTTTTCTCTGTAAATCTATTTACTCCCCCTGTTTACAGTTTGCACCCTGGGGAAGAGCTGCATTGATCAGTACTAGTTTACTTTTAAAACAAGGGCATTGATATCCCAAATTTTTATCCGGACCCATTTCACTGTCCACACAAGTCTCTAAAGAAATTCTCTGACACCCTTCTCCTTTATCCCTATTAAGGGCAATTTCAGCCTGCCATAAATCTGTCTGCTGCAATCCCTATTCCAGGGAGCTTTCAGTAACATGGGACCCAAGTATGGAACTTCCAGTTAAAGGAAGTTTAACTCCTTCCTTGAGGAGACTGACCAAAATATTTAATAGGATCAAGAATCTTGCTGTGATGAACTGGCAAATGAGAGACTGGGCACTTTATATGGAGAAGGAGCACAGCATCCTGCTGTTCCAGCTGGCTCCAGGACTGAGGAGACCAGATTCCTGTAGTTTAAATAAAAGAGGAAAACAAACCCACAAAACCAACTGGGGGCATCTCTCCCTATTTATGAGAGTGCAGTGGAATTTTCAGGCCCGCCAGAAACACAGTAATCATATTTATGCCTGAACTTCTTCATGCCAACATGGAAACCATAATACTCCAATTCCTCAACCTATAGCAAACCCCAAGTAGCCACACTGGGATTACTGGTATGGATAATCTACAGTTTAACTTCCCCAAACAGGGCTTGGCCACTCGTGGCCGTGCAGTTCCATCCCTGGAGGAACATCTCGTGCCCCTCTCAGCACTGACTGTGCCAGATCAAACACAAGGTTCATTCCCGTGTGTTTCTTGTGGGAATCTGGGAGCAGACGAATCCCTGTTGCTGTCAGCTGGAGTGTCAGCAGTGAGAACAGTGAGTCTGGAGCTGCTCCTGGACAGCCAGATTGGCTCCCAGACGTCGGGGATGGAGGAGCAGCACAGCCTGGGAGCTGCTTTTCATTTAACTCACATGCATGGATGGCTTTGGTCACCCATCCAGGAATTGATTCCCTTCAGATAAGCAAAAGAAACAACGCTGGAAATGGGCAATAGTAAAATATAAACCCAAACAAGAATTGGTTTGTTTCTACAGTCCTGTCACAGTTGTTTTCACTTTGGCAAAATAAACTTCACTGAGCTCCTGTGCTCGGGGTTCACGGGGTTACCTGCAAGAAGGAAGCTGGATACCAGTGAGAATCATGGAATCATGGAATAGTTTGGGTGGGAAGGGACCTCAAAGCCCATCCAGTGCCACCCTCTGCCATGGGCAGGGACACCTTCCACTGTCCCAGGTGGCTCCAAGCCTTGTCCAGCCTGGCCTGGGACACTTCCAGGGATCCAGGGGCAGCCACAGCTTCTCTGGGCAACCTGTGCCAGGGCCTCCCCACCCTCACAGCCAGGAATTCCTTCCCACTATCCGATCTCTCCCTGCCCTCTGGCAGTGGGAAGCCATTCCCCTTTGTCCTGTCCCTCCATCCCTTGTCCAAAGTCTGTTCAGCCTTCCTGCAGGCTCCCTTTAGGCACTGGGAAGGGCTCTCAGGTCTCTTTAAGGAACTTAAGGGAAGAACCCCACCTCCCCAAATTATCCAGGGAATTAAACCCTTTCCCCCTGCAAAAGCAAGATTTGGGATTTTAGCTTATGAAACAGAATTCTGAGGGATGCCCTGATCCCATGGGGGTCCTGACAAACGGGAGAGCAACTCCAGCAGTGCACAACTCCTGAATTTCCTGGGAAGTGCTGGATGCTGAAGTTAAACTGGAATAAACTCCAGCCCTGAGCTGCAGACCCTGCAAACAGCTCCCCAGGACACCGGGGAACCCCCAGCTCTTCAGCCCTGCACAAGCAGGGAACTCACTCCTGAGCACGTGGGTCTACATGAGAGTATGAACACAGAGCTGAGGGCTCTGCTCAGGGAGAAGAGTGGGAAGGAAATCCTAAACTAGGAGGAACGGCCTTTGAAGGAGCAGTGAGGATCCACTGCAGGAGCAGGCAATGGCACATTTCCCTCAGTGCCTCTGAAGTGAGGAAACTCGGTGTGACAGGGAGCCCAAGAGCCCTGGCAGGGGAGAACCCAGTGCTGCCAACACGGGCCTTTTCCTTGGCCCAGACCCACATTCCAGGCTCCCGGTGCCCCCTGTGTGCGGCACACACAGCCCCAGCTGCAGTTCTCACACTGCACACACACAGCTGAGGCTCTGCTCAGCTACCTGCACATGCCACCCTGGGGAGCAGGGGACAGCAGGGGACCTCTGAACTGCTGCCTGCACAGCAACACAGTCAGCAGGAGCATTTGACATATTCCCTTTCCTGCCAGTCCAACCCCCTCCCTAAGTCAGCACCAGGGCACTCGGGGAGAGCACAAGACACTGTGAAAAACATATTTTGATATCCTGTAACACAGAAAAGTACAGTTCTCATTGCCAAAAAGATCAGTTTGAACCCTGAGTCACACATTTAATGTCTTCCCAGTGTGTTTTTGGCCGCGCTGGTGCTCCCACAAATACCTGCTTGCTTTGACTCTTGCTGGATGATTTCCTCTGGCAGCTCATTTCATTTTAATTACATGGCTTGAGAGAGTATTTCCACCCACCACTTCCCAAAACTCCCACTTTCTAAGTATCAGTGAGTGTCCTTTTGGGCTCACAGCGTGAGACATCTCACAGTTATCCTGCCGTACTAGTTCCTCCTAAGGAACTGCCAAATGGTGTTAATTAAGCTTTAACATGTCCAAACGGACCTTTTTCACAGCTGATCATTCACTAAACATTCGTGTGCTGTTGTTAAGTGTTTAGAAACAACTGAATGCTCTAAAGGAATAACTAGTACCTGTTCTGAAGGAGGGCTGCACTGTTTCCAGTGCCCTTCTATGACCTCTGTTTTTGAGAAACGATTGTAAAATTAGCTTTATAGTGCCTTCTGCTAAAGACAGACCACTAGAGTGGTGTGACAGAATTCTGTAACAGATCTTGGCTTCACAGCAGCAGATGTAGTTCTTTTTAACAAACCAGTAAATATTTTAGGTGACTAGAGAGCTGAGACTTCTATAATCTGACCCAGGTTCAAAAGGTAAGCAGGTAGTCAACAGGTACCAGGAAAGGAAACACCACCTGTGTGGGTTTCTCTGCTGCTAAATTAGAGAATGTGGATGCCAGCTACTCTTATAAAAACATTCTGTTCTGAGC